TTTCTTATATTATAAATTAAAATCATTTGTCTGGTTTCCTTTCATGTTGGCACAAACCTTGAGTTGAGGATTAGACTGTCTTTACTTCCAGAGTTTTTATATTTTTACTAACATCTGACAACCTTATCCTTTTGAATTTTGAAAGTCAAGCAAGAAGCTGTGGAATGATACCTGAATTAAGCAGTAGTATTTAATTTTTTCAATTTGTAGGACTTGGTCAAGAAGTTTGATGCAAAAGTTGAGAAGAATGGCTCCTCCAACAGACTAGAAGATCTTGTATTTGGTTCATTCATTGAGAAGGGTTGTAATGCTGCAGTGTATGAGGCTAGATATGTTGATAGAGAAGAGAATGATAACAGTCAGAATATTGGTATGATTTTCATTTCACATAGAAAGCAAACTTTGAACATTCTTCTGTCTGAATTAAGGTTAAGGAAATTGTACAGACAACTTTTTTTTGTGTATCAGGGACACTGATGGCATTGATTTGCTCCAATTTTCTGGTTCATGCAATTTCACTAAAACTAAGCATTTTGCAGCATCACTATCCTTAAAGGGACAGGTGTGCCGTTTTAAAGGGTTGATTTTTTAGTCTTGAATATATGTAAATAGTCTTCAGAAGTACTAGAAATGTGCGAAAGTCGCATAATTCCTTTGAAAAAAAGAACAAACTGGGAATTTTTTTCACTTTTTCTACTTACCTGATATGTCTTTTCTATATGTCACAGATTATCTTAAATTGACGAGTCATCATTTTAACATTCAATCACAGATAATTCTGGAGTCTTATGGATTTGAAGGCTTGAATTTCAACGTTGAGCTGTGAACGCTAAATTCCTGTTTCTGAGACTAACGTATGATTGGTCAATAAAATGGTTTACCTATCCCTTTAAGGCCGTGAGATATTAATAGCAGCTTTTGTAAAAGTAATGTCATATATTGCGTGTAATTTCAAGAATCAAAGGAATGGTACCAACCAAGCTCTGCACAATCACTATAACAGCTGCTGGATCTCACTCAAAATCTTGCTTAGAACATGGCAATGAATTGTTCTCTTTCTTTCAGTTACTACTGCAGAAACTATGGAAGACACCAAACAATCAGAAGAATCAACAAATGATCTGAATATTGAGGAACCAGATGATATCTCTATCTTGTCTATGGTTGGTGATGATGATGATGATGATTATCTTATGATTAATGGAGATGGTATAGAGTTTAATTATGTAGAACGGACTAAGGATAAGGAATCTAATAAAGAAGGGCTGTATTTGATCATAGATGATGGTGGGAGTGATATTGTTGTGCTAGATGTTGATGAAGAAGATTTTGAACTACTAGGTTTGTCATTTCTTCATTGCAGAATTCCATGGATTTAAAATGTATTGGGAGTTGTGGTTACTCAGTGAGCTAGACGAGTTTTTATTTAACCCTGGATTTCACCCCGTTGGTGAACATCTGTATAACAATAAACAAAGGCCCAATGGGCTACAAGCTTTGTGCATTCAGGAACCCAAGACAGTTGGAAGATGTTGACAAAATCTTTTTCCTTGCACAATGCATTTACCAATTTTCATTAGCCCAAACCCAAAGTAAGACCTAGAACTCCATTCCATTTTTCAAAATGTATGAAAGAGCTTTCCTTGTCTATAAATAAAGGAAGCTTGGTCTACTTTGATTTCAACATTTTTTTAAATCCAGGCTTTGATTTGATTTTTGGTTGCCTTTGGAAGGTTCCAGATATCTGAAATAGAACTGAATTGAAAGTTTTTTCAATGTCTATCTTCTAGATGAAGAGAATCCCGAGATAGATAAAGCTAAAGATGAATTGGTCAACCTTGAAGGTGAAGGTCATGGTGGTGAAGTCAAAGACAAGTTTGATTTAGCAGTGAAAATGATGTTTAATTATGATGCTGAATCTAATACAGTGTCAATATCACAGGCCATGAAGCGTGAGACTATCCCTGCTAAAAGTACTACTATACAGGATTCTGATACATTGAATGTTTTAAGGTATGTGAGCTAAACAATTTGAATGGTCACGAAAAATACATCTCTTTACATATTTATTATATTATTTTATATATGAAATAAAAAAAGCAGGTAGAATTTTATTTTCCAATGGTTTTAACCTAACATTGTTTGGTGTAGTTGTCTTAACCCAGTCAAATACTGAATATTTTTTATATCAGATCTCATTGGTTGTTAAATTTCAAATTATTAAAGGGTTAACCTGACATTTTACCCAATCCCCAAAGAATCTTCTGACACCCCTGAAAGATTACTTCTGTACTGGTAGTTGAAATGATTAAAAAAAAATTCATACACACAACACTTATATATTATTCTAAATTTCTTCTAGGAGTGATGGCAATGTCTATTTACCACCGCATCCAAATATAGTAGATATGAAAGATGTATTTATTGATAGTGTACCCAAATTAGAAGATTCAACTGCTAAATATCCAGCTGCTTTACCAAAAAGGTTACATGATGATGGACTTGGAAGAAATATGACTATGTTTCTGGTAATGAAGAGGTAAAGATTCACTCATCTGTGCTTGTTGTCATTACATAAAAACTATTTAATAGGATCAATGGAAGGCTCCCCATTTTGATTTACTACCAAAGAATTGATGAACGCTATCAAATAGTTGAGAATTGTTAGTAAAGAAACTTGGAAATTATCCATGCGATAGTCTAGATTCTAAATCAAGATAGTAATTTATAAATGGTGCTATCCTAGAGACATTTTTACAATGTTAAGCTACAAGGAACTGCCTTACAGAGCCCTCAACTAAAGCTGTTTAACACAGTTACTAGAGGGAATAGAACACTTGTCTTTTCATTCTATAGCTCATAGAGATATCAAGAGTAACAATATATTGATAGATACTGATACTTCAGATGGTTTGTACAAATTTCTTTTTTTGATATTTTTTGTCTGGTTTGAAATCTAACAAGCTTTCTTCCACAATTGTGGGATAGTAATCATCAAATCAGAGCAATATGATACTATCTCATGACGTGTACAAGAAATGCAACCTACATGACACACTTTGATTGGTTATGAATAAGGTCATTTGAACAGGTAGAAAAATAATTAAATTACAATGGAGACGAAAAATAAATGAGACTAGATTGTAAATTAATTTGTGCTAGATTGTACCCACAAGGATGTTCATTCCCATCACAGAAAGTTACGTCTCGATGATATTAATTCCAGGTAAGCCTCGTCTTGTGATTAGTGATTTCGGATGTTGTTTAGCTGACAATGAGAATGGATTGAAGATTCCGTATGTTTCATCTGATCAAACTAAAGGTGGTAATCCATCTTTAATGGCTCCTGAGGTAAGTGTAATACCCCTTTTACACTTTGTCTTGATAGAGGAAGTGTGTGTGTGGTCTGCTGATAAAAAAAATGCCATTTACACCAGCATACTGAGTGCTCTACATTGAACAGAAGTCAGTGTCCCTCACCTGGGAAAGTGAAAGTGAGTACATGTGCCAAAGATGTGGAAGTCTAATCCAAAAACTTCTGTCAATTGTCAAACATAATAGCCTTATGTTTTGGACCAAACTTAAATAATCAAAAATTTTCAAATTCAAATACCTAAGCCATACAGTCAGCTTTACAATAAAATTCTTTTATTTCAGATAGTTAATGCTGTTCCAAGTGTGTATGGAAGGTCAATATTAGATTATTCTAAAAGTGATCTGTGGGCTGCTGGTAGTTTAGCTTATGAGATTTTTGGTGAAGAGAATCCATTTTATGGTAAAAATCATGGTAGATCATTAAACAGTGGAACATACAGTATATCAGACTTGCCACCTCTTCCAGGTAATAACAGTATAACTTCTAGTTGATGTCTGTGAAATCATGAGATGAAATGTAGGATGTAAAACTCCATTCATTTCTCTTAAGCTCTCAATTCAATAAATAGATTTTTATGTAATTTTTTGGTAAATGACATAATTGTCATGTGAAAAGATTGATTCTTTGAAGACTGAGACAGATTTCTTATTCCTTGTTTCAGATTCTGTTCCAGGAATTGTTCAAGATTTAGTTTACAACATGTTGGAGATAGATCCAAGAAAGGTTTGTGTAATACTATATTTTATGAAATTATAAGCTTACTTGGATATTCCAAGATTTAATTTGAATCTAATTATAACCTGTAATGATTTAATCTAATAGATTGGTAGTGATATTTAACTGGATTCAATTCAGAATGAAACATTTTATTAGCAATGTATCACATCTAAATTTAGTTTTGGTCGATAATCCAGTGTTTCACATTTCTTAAAAATTCGGTAGCAATGTTCCAGAAATAAACTTTGAAATATACAATTTGATTTGATTCACAGGTTGTCATGATAAATTTTAATTTTGGCTAATCAGAAGAAATATTGAATTGAAAAAAGGACCATTTTTATGCGATGCGATACTGCTTAATTTGAACTTTGATATTTAGTTGATAATAAGATTCTGCGTCGAAAATGTTTTATCATGAAGCAGTTGTAGAAGTTGTGCAAGACCTTGTATTCAATCTAGTTGTGGATTTTTTTGTTATCTTTCTTACAGAGGCTAACCGCATCAACAGCAGCTACTGTTCTTCAGATATATTTATGGAATAATGAATATTTTCAATTTAATAAAGAAACAAAGAAGAGTGACTATAAACTGTTTATATTAATGCTAACATTAGAAGTTATATCAAAGAAGCTATACAACACCGGTGAGAATCTTGAAACTGATTTAAAGTTGTCCTTGTTAAAGAGAATGACGGAGAAAGATTTAAATAATTGTGTCAATTTTTATGTTAAAAATATTAAGTGATAGATGATCATTAGTGATTTTTTTTGCTTTTGATAATATGCATTTGTTAACTAACAGATAATAGTGCTTTCAGTTAATATCTTTGTTGATGTAAAACTTTGCTTTCAATAAACTATTTAGTTGTAGCTACCATGTTGTTTCTAAGGAATTTGATTACTGCATAGGAAACTATATATGATTCTATCATAATAACACACACAAACAAAGTTCACAACCAATTAAATCAATTCGAAATTTTAAAAAGGCTATAATATATACCTAAGCCTTCAAATCACATTTAAAGCCAGTTAAAATATTTTAGCCTTTTGAAAAATTTGACTTAAGTTGAGGTGGAGATTAAAAATGGTTGTGGACTGTTTGGTTGTGTTATTTCCGTATAAGAATCATATATACCTTTGTATGTTCTTTACTAGCCTAAACTGTGAACTATTCATTTCTGCATTGGTTCATTGTAAGGATTAAAGAGAAATTCGACGTTCAACATATGAAAGATAATGATTTTGAACTTCAAAATCATTTATAAGATGACATTGCATAATTCTGAAAATTGAAGAAAGAGAAAGGGTTCGCGTATTTTATTTAGAAAATGGCTTTCTCATCCAATGGTATAATTAATCCTACAACATTATTTAAAATACAACATTCAATCCTAAGAATATAATAGTTTTTCAATAAAAATCTGCACTGACTAGTATTGTTTGCTGTCTCAGTTTTGTTCTCACTACATCAAAGCTCTTTTGATCCATAGACTTGATTCTAAACATTATAAAACAAACATCAGATGAGGATTAATAACAGAATACAGATAAACATTTTGTATTTGGTTATTGTAATACACTTAACACTGAATGGATATCAAATCGACTGATCATTTTAGTAAAAAATTCTGTTATTTGTTTAAGAGTCCTACTAAAATGTAAGTTTACATGACATTCCCTTTCACTTACATGAACAAAAATGGCACTCTAAAAGATTAAATTACATAGTATTTACACATAAACAACATTATGCTTTTCTAGCATTGATAATTTGTACAAAGTCAGGTTTTAATGAAGCCCCACCAACTAAGAAACCATCAACATCAGGTTTAGTACCTAATTCTTTACAATTTCCAGCACTAACAGATCCTAAAATACACAAATACCAAGATATTTTAACATTAAGGAAGACAAATAAAAGAATGCCTTTGAAGGAAGACATGCCATGTTTTTTTTTTATATAATCACAACAATTTCATAAAAATACTGCAGGAGTAATCTTGTTTTTTTTTGACAAATATAAGGTGAATGAAAGCAGGATTATTTAAATATCTAACGTAACCTCATTTGTAAAGAACATAATTATACCTACCCCCATAAATGATTCTAGTTTTTTGAGCAACCTCAGCAGAAACATTATCAGCCAACCACTTTCTTAAACTGGCATGTACTTCTTGAGCTTGTTCTGGAGAAGCTACTTTACCAGTACCAATAGCCCATACTGGTTCATAGGCTAATACCACTTTACTCCAATCACTGATATTAGCTGAAATGTATTTGTATAATATATATTATGTTACATTATGTATTTTGCTTAATGCACTTAATGCTCAGAACTCATGTAATGAAATTGTATGAAGGGAGAATGATAATAGAAGAAATGTGCTTCAGACAATAGAGCAGTACCCCTCATAAGCCTGGCATTATTTAAGTGTAAACAAGATAATACCTGCAAATGCTGAAGTTTGTCGAAATACTACTTCATTTGTTTGGTTGGATTCTCTCTCTTCAAGTTTCTCTCCAATACAAGCAATGACCCCTAATCCTTCTTCCAACACATACTTCGTTTTTTGACCAATTAACTGTAAGAGAGAAAGATCATAGTAGATGAAAAAAGATTAACCTTCCATTTGAGACCATATGACTTGACCTTGAAAGATTACACAGATTAATGTATCGTACACATGTACCAATAATTCACTAAAGAAAGCTAATGAGTTGAAAATTTACTACGATTATTACATCATGAAAGTTTACCATTCAGTATGGTGTCAAGAAATTCACTATTCTTGTTGCTCTAAAAATGTACTTAAATTCATTAGCTTTTGGATGACAACACCTCAAATGCATACTGTACTTTGAATCTGCAAGACACAACTGTCAATAGAAAATTAATACCTCATCACATTCACCAAAAACATGTCTTCTTTCAGAATGGCCTAAGATGATCCATGTAGCACCTACATCTTTAGCCATAGCAGCACTGAAATATTAAATAACATGTAACATATCCACAATTATAACATATCAAGTTTAGTACTCTTTGAGTTATATCAAATATCAATTCAGAAAAATTCTGAGGTTTTTGTGAACTTAAACCTGACTCAAATCAAATTTTATCCCGAACAGAACATACCTATTTCACCAGTGAACGCTCCTTTGGCTACTTTATAACAATTTTGTGCTGAAGTGGCAACATTATTATTCAGTTTACCTCTAACATAGTCTAGATATATGGCTGGTGGTGAAACAACAACCTCTGAAATAAAAATACTATAATGAAAAGAATGGGCTACTTTTATATTACTCCAGAGAAAACTATCAAATATTAAGCTATGCTAGGTCTACAAAAAGCCATACTTCTGCGGTGGCAGCTGACAGTGCTGGATTGTGTACAATGTGAATAAAGGTAAAAATTTCTATTTTTATATATAAACAAGAATCAGGTTGACCGCTTGACTGAAACATCTGTCTCTATTCCAGCCTCTGATAGCTATTTAGACAGATGTCAGCTGGTATGGAGACAGGAAAATAGGCCCTGTTAAATGGGGACATTCCGCATTTCCACAGGTGCAGGGTGTTTAAACCTATTTGTAATACCTCGGGTCTGCAAATCACAGGTATATTTGGAAAGATGAATATTTTTGTATTTCAGTCATTTTCTCCCTGCACCTTTTATGTCATGTCTTCAATAACATCAAATTTTTTTTTTGGCAAAACTGATTTAGCATCGGCTATTTAAAACTGCATGCACAGCATAAAGTTCAAAGGTCATGTGATACTAACAAAACGAAAGCTATGGTGATGCCCAACACTAATTTACAATCATCTTAAAGGTAATTCAATACACATCTTTGGAGGTGTGGAAAATCCCCATTTAACCAAATTAAAAGGGTCTTTTTCTTCTGACTCTAACTCCAGTTTACAACTGTCAAAATATCCATCAGAGGCTGGGATGTCACCACAATTACTGGAAACAGAACTAGGTCTTCTACACTGCAACAGGGATTACTGGCAGTGACTGGTGACTGCACATATACACGACGCCGGCATTGGCCATAAATAGGCATCAATAAAAGGCAGTACCATAGCATAAACATACTTCACAAACAAAGCATTTTACCTGTGTTTTCATCTAAAGGACCATCATTAAGAAATTTTATAATGCCATCGACGCTCTGTTTGTCTCCATTAAGTTTCCAATTTCCACCGACGAAAAATTTTCGCTGATTAGCCATTCTTTGAAGATTTAGTTTCTGATGATAATGACTTATGAAGTAGTGTCCTTGAGACTGTTCAAAGATATCAATCAAAGGTGAAGGTCTTATTTTTAAATGGGTACGTATTTTATTGGCAAGAATACCACATTAAAAGAACATATTTTCTATCAGTAACCTTTGTCATTTTTAGCATTTCTCATTTATTTCTGGTGTATAGTTTGATAAAATTCTGCCAAATATTCAAACATTGGAAAACCCATAGAGTACACATTTGTATTGATTTTTGTATGGGTACGCTATGATCAATTCAGAGCTGTAAAGTTGGAATTTCGATTTTTTTTTCTGAAACATGACATTCAATGATTTTCAAACCTGTTATTTCTATATACAATTATCATTATTTTTTTTATCAACTCGGGTACTCTAATTATTAAACTTAATTTATATATATCATCAGTATACGAATATTGGTTTCGTACATGGCGGGAGTTTACATTACGTAAGTCCGATCTAAGTAATTAATCTCTGCCCGAATGCTGAAATTGATCTCTGTGCCTTTCAGCACTTGATAAGATTAAAATTCCAAAAGTTGGGATAGTGTAATTGTTTCCTGACACAGTCAATAGAATTGACTGTCAAAGACATTTGTGCACTGTGTGTGCTGTTACAACTGTGATCAGTAGTCATATATCGCATTAGGTCTAGTAGACTAATTATTATTATTATTACTCCTTCTGTGTGTACTGCATTCACAAGTTACTAATTACTGCAATTAATGAAGCCTGTACAGTATTAATATGTTGTCAAGGTCAACTGGCTATGCTTTTACACACCATTGCCTCACTGCTATATGATGTCTAGTCCGAGACATCTGGCTCGATTTCAGTCTGATACTTACTTTGACAGTTGTCGGCTGGAGTAGCGTTCTAGGCGTACAATCAAGTCGTTACATTGGAGTCGAGGTTTAAGATGAAGGTTGTAATAGCTCGATATTGTGAAGATGGCTCATAAATGACAATCTTTATTTTAGAGAAGCTTTGAAGATTTAAGTTCACCATGTCACAACAAAGCAGAGCTAGAAAAAGAGAAATGATTTCAAATATTGATCAACAAGACTGCCAATCTTCATCTGCCCAGACATTGTCAGCAAAATTGAGAAAGAAAATGGTCAACAGTGAAATTAATACAGAAACCTCTTCTAAAATCAAATTAAAACAGAAAGAAATATCTTCAAAATTAAAAGTTTCAAAAAAGAAATCAAACAAATATAATGACTTGTCAATTTCCAAACATTTAAATAGTGATGATGAAAATGACTCTCTGAAACTTTCGAACAAAATAAACTTTCTGGATAAATTTGAAACCAAGACAGAAAACAAGTGTACTTTTGAAAAGACAGACTTCAGTTGTAACTTTGATAAAAGACATTCTGAATATCACTTCAGACCTTCTATTTCAACAAATTTTGAAAAAAGTTTAAATTTATTCCATTTATTATACAAGACAACTTGTGGTATTCATGTTCAACCAAAATTTAAAAAGGTAGGCTATGGAGAATATGTTTCCAATTTTTGGTTTTGCATTATGTGTATTGTAGAGAACACAACTTTTCTGCACCAAACATAACACACTATGTTTCAGTGGCATAAACAAAAATATTGGAAATTTTTGTAGTCAAAAATACTCTTATTTGTTGCCCATTTCAAAGCATTGCTTTAAGAAGCACTTTTGTATATTCTATGTAGAGATTTAGGAAGATATCTATTCTGCCAAGACTGAAGATTAACAAACCATTCATAAAACAGAAATTCTTTTTTGTAGAGTTTTACCCAGCCATTGATAAAAGAAATATCAGAGTTTGGTTTATTTCGATGTGCTACACCATTTGATAGAAGAACAACAGCATTGGAATGGCACCCCACACATCAGAACACATTAGCTATGGGATCCAAGGGTGGTGATATTATATTATGGAATTCTTCTACAGTTGATAAAGATCCTTTTATACATGGGGTAGGTAACACCATCTCAGATGCTAAATGTTTGGAAGAGGGAGTTGATACTTTAAATGGCTGCAGTTGACAAAGGATGAATTTTATCAGCTAATGAAACACCTTAACAAAAAAAAGTGATGACCTTTTCACCATATTGCCATTAAAAATACCTAACCAATCGTTTGTCTTGAAAGTTGTTAAAATCATTAATTGTGTGATATATATATATATATCTAATATTTTGGTTTATTTATCTTTTGTAGGATGGCCCAGGAGGGTCTATACAAGCTATCAAGTTTTGGCCCTGGGATCATAACAGAGTATTAACTGCTTCAATCAATGGTACTGTTACACTACATGATTTTGAAGGACGTCAAACTCAAGTTTTATCTGATACCATGAACTGTATGGAGTAAGTTAGTGTTCTTATGTAAATTGTTTTTAGTTATGAATATTAAATAAAAGATTGAATATAACCCTCTAGAGCTATGATTTAAAAAAAATGGACATTTATCTATACAATATGAATATCATCCACTGCTCTTATTTCGTTAAGTTACAGAACACAATTTTACAGTTTACTACTCTTGAGTTTCACTTGAAAAAACTCAGGATTGCTATACAGTTAATTATTAAATTGATTTCTGAGCCTAAATGTCTCTAAAGGATTAATTTCACATTTCTATGTTAATAACTAAGCTAAAATTCACTCGATAAGTGAGATTTCAAGCCAGTCTGAAATCTTTCACTACTCATTCATCTTGCATATATCAACCTATATGTTCTTCTCTATAGTTTTTGGTACTGTTCAGTAGATGTTAGTCAAGACAATAAAATGGTTATTACTGGAGATAATGTGGGAAAAGTTTTAACTTTAACAGACCAGGGAGAGAAGGTGAATGCTATAAAACATGTACCAATTAGTCTGGTTGTCTTATGGTAAAAAAAAATTGTATCATGATTGATGACATCCAAAAATCAAAGCAATTCTTCCAAGAAAGATTTCTTTAACATCACTATTATGTCTTAGTTTTAGTAGAATTGCTAGAACCATAGACTGAAATTGGAATGGTGGAAAAATATGATTTCAATGTCCCACATACACATCAAATAAAAAGTTAATAAATAACTCTTTACATCCCTATAATCTTAAGACCGATTATTCTATTGTAGATCTCAAATCTCAAATTACACAAACAGAAAGTAACTCATGTTGAATTCTCACCAAGAGAAAGTTGGTTATTATGTACAGCATCTGTAGATCATACTGTTAAACTATGGGATATCAGGATGATCAAAGATATTAAAAGTTCAGTCAATGTATTACAGCATGCTAAGGGAGTCAATTCAGGTAAGTAGCTTTAGTTCTCTGATTATTGATTCCCAAAAGGGGCCATTTAAACTCATGCACTGTGATGCATTGAAACCCTGCAGTGCAAAAGTACAATACAACTTGTAGACAACTCTTTGGTATGCAAAGTTATCAAATCAGATTTATAATCCTTGTATTATTTGAGATAATCATTGTAACAAACAACAAGGTAAATTTCTAAATTGTTTTCATTATGCAGGTCTAATAAAACTTTCTCATTATTTTTCAGCATATTTCAGTTCCACAGATGGATGTAGACTACTGACAACAGATCAACACAGTGAGATTAAGATATTCTCAGCTCCTGACTGGAGATTAGATAAAACTATTGTTCATCCTCATCGATTCTTTCAACATATTACACCTATTAAAGCTACATGGCATCCATTACAAGATCTGATAGTAGTAGGTCGTTATCCTGACCCATCACTAATGAAAGTCAGCAGTGCTTATGAGCGTCGAGCTATAGATATTATAGACAGTGATACTGGTGGTATTATTTGTAAACTCTATGATCCTAGTGCTCCAGGAATTGTTTCGGTAATATATTTTTGTATTAAAATACTATGGTGTAAAATTAAAAATAACAATTGAATTAGAACAATAAATTGACAATAACATTTTGATTTTTTTGGTCCCTGTGACATTTTAATGATATAATATTTAACCAATCAAAGCGAGTCATTTAGAACCTGTTATAACAATGATGAATTGTTGGAAAGCTCTACTTTGGATTTTCATCAAATCATCATCTTTTATCAAGAAGCAGGTTTTACATGACACACCTTTATTGGTTAAAATAGTGAAATTAGAATGGGAGTGTGGTAGAAAACATGTAAGATTACAATAATATATCTAGCTAAATAAGATAATATTTTTTTTTCAGTTAAATAAATTCAATCATAGTGGTGATGCTTTAGCTTCTGGAATGGGTAAGTTGGATACAAAAAATATTCTAAAAGCTATCATGTACTGCTTCGCTAGAGACGCTGATCACAATACCTATTTTAGTGAGGCTCTATTTCCAAACAGATTTTGGACATGGGACACCAGGGCATTGAGCTAAAAGCTTTCAGATTGACCTTAGGATCAATCTTGTCCACCAGCAGGGTCATCACTCTATTGGGATGCCACCTTGACACAACTAATCGGCAAATGGGAGCCATGATTGAATTTGGATAGTTGGTGAAATATAGAGCAGCTTTTGAATCTTGCAGCTTTTGACTTTGTAATATTATCTGATTGCTGTCTATTGTAGGTGTAAATATATTGTTATGGAATAGAAAACATTTGATAGCCCGAAAACAGGAAGAATTAAGTAGTAAGATGATATCTAGTGGTATTACTCCTAATAGAAATCAACCTCATAGTGATAATAATAATAATATCAGACTCAAAAAGACTGAAAAAAAAACAAAATCAGAGAATAAAACAGCAAAGTCAAAACTTGTGAAAAAAACTAAAATAATAGAAAAGAAAAGGAAATGATCTGTTAAAAAGAATTTTTATAGTAAAATCTTAAAAATGGTTTGTACTGGTTTTATTCATTCTCAATATTTCGGTCTAAATTGTTGCTACAAAACTGGTATGATAGTTGGTTTTCAGTCAGGGACATAGACTGGTTGAGAAATGGGAGGTTCAATTTTAAATTTAGTGGGACCATGATGACAACTTCTTTTTCTGCGATAGCAATATATATCCAGTCCCTCTCTTAAATGCGGCCAACTGCATAACCTACAAGGCAAATCATTATCTATTCTACTAGTGTGGGTTTAAAGCCTTTTCACAGCACAATGAAGAGTTATAAGGTTTACACAAAAACAGTCTGATCAAAAAAAAACATCTACAATTTAAAATTCATATAAATTCTAAAATGTAAATCTTTCATTCTTTCAAATCATATAGAAATAGAGGAACTGAATCAAGTTTTTTCATAATATTTATTAAACAAGTTAGATAATATTATATGTCCAACCTTTAGGTGAGGATGGCTTTAAATAATGACTTTTATAAATATTATTACAATAAGCAACAAGTTCCAGATTCTATTTATCATTATAAATTAAGGTTGTGTGCTGTGGGTTAATCACATTTCAATACAGTACAGTGTTATTAGTTTATTTAACACACTTAATTCAACAGTAAGCAATATCACATTTTTTCATTGATAACAACATTACTAGGTGAAGCATAAGGAATAGATATTTCTTGTTCCAGTTTAATTCTTCTTGGTAAGGCTGGTGAAGAAGTTTTGTCTCCAGTTGATTCATAAGACTGGATGTTCCCGGTTGCAAGATTTTGTAGTCTCTCTCCTTCAGTACTCTTTCTGATACCATAGCCAAAATATATTATAAACCCTGATAGAATATAGACAAGGGTTAGATTACACAAGTTTTCTTAATAAATACGTATGACTAAACACAATGTGATGGCAAGAAACATGGTTTGAAAACAAAAATATAATATAATATTGTACACTCTGATTAAAATACCAATCAAGATGCTTTGCTTTGTGTTATTTCTGCAGGTTATTACTTTTTAACTTCTTATCATTGATCTGACATAATTCAGCTTTAAAACATGTTGCAGAGCAGCAACAAAAAGACAGCAATTTTATGCTGATTAATCAAAAACTTTGTAAAGAAATAATATATGTAGACAGTAGAGTTCAATGGTTTTATAATAAATATCTCAGAATCACCTGCAGTAAGAAATATGTCATTTAACAGAGCTTTAGGTGCATCACAACTTTGTGAGATCATCGAAGACAAGTATTTTGATTCACTTACAGAAAAAACTGCAAACGCAACATCCAAAGTTGCATTATCAGATGGAATATTGCACACAAATAACGAAACAATAAATAACAATTAATACTTTTTTCAAAATACTGCAACAAAACTCCATTATCCTGATAACTCAAAATAGAATTCTTAATGAAATATATTGTACACTTGGTTGTAAATGTAATAGTTTGAGCTTGAGGCACTTAATGTCAGCTTCAGTATTTCATTTGGCAAGGTGGTATAACCATAAAACTACAACCCTCTTTATTTCGATTTGATTTGAAACACTATTTATCTTTTGATTTATTTTTCACAAGTTGAGTTGTCTCAGAGAAGGCTGTTTCTGATTCTAAGCTATCTAAGCTTTCACTACTGTCTATGGAATGTGTTTTTGGTAAGCCGAAGGTAGGAGAGGTGGTGCTGGATTTATAATCTGTATGATGGATAGAGTAGCCAAAATATATAGAAAAACCTGATAAAAAAAATAGAAAGCAAGGGTTAGGGACTGTTCTTCTTGCATTGCCTGGTGATTTCCTCAATCTCATTTTGAGCACTATTCTTTTGTATAAATCATATTAAAAGCATATTTTCAAAGATAAGAAATCCTTAACAGATAAAATCTCATTTGTCATTTTATAGAATTAATACATATATGCTTGAAATTGGAGAGCCCTTTTATGATATTGAATAATAATTTCTAAAGTAAGCTTTTGCACTAATGTCTAGCAAGGGAAGGGTATGTGTACTAGAAGTGACTAGATACTGAAACTATCACCTACCTATAACCATCCAAACACCAAACCTGATCCAAGTTGAGGATGATAATTTTAACATTAGATATATATTAACAAATATACTCAATGTCGGTAATAATGGCAAAGCTGGAACCTGCAAAACAATATAAGCAAACTTTCAATGTCGAACTTCTTAACTATTTTAATAATAATTGGAATTTTGAATTTTTTTTTTAAAACACTTAACAATTTTAGCTAACTTTTAGCTCATGATTCTGGTTGTCAGTATAATGCTTACTTAAAACTGATTATAGCTGGTTATTGATGTTGTTTAGTACTTATTAATTTAGGTGGTTGTTAGTATAAAACTTACTTTAAAACTGAGTTTAGGTGGTGATGGTGGTTATTAGTGTAAAACTTACTTTAAAACTGAGTTTAGGTGATGATGGTGGTTATTAGTATAAAACTTACTTTGAAACTGAGTTTAGGTGGTGATGGTGGTTGTTAGTATAAAACTCACTTCAAAACTGAGTTAAGCTGATGATGGTAGTTGTTGTTTAGTGCTTAACTTAAACCTGAGTTTAGCTGGTGATAGTGGTTGTTAGTATAGAACGTACTCTAAAACTGAGGTTAGCTAGTGATGGTGGTTGTTAGTATATAACTCACTTTAAAACTGAGTTCAGATGGTGATGGTCTTCGTTGGTATAGAACTTACTTTTAAACTGAGTTAAGCTGGTAATGGTGGTTGTTAGTATAGAACTTACTTAAAACTGAGTTTACCTGGTGATGGTGGTTGTTAGTATAGAACTTACTGGTAATTGTTGTTGTTTAGTACTTACCTTGATAACTGAATATAGCTGGTGATTGCAGCTGTTAATTACTTTCCTTAAACAGTTAAGTTTGTGATTGTTATTGTGGGTAAAGTACTTACTTTAAAACTGAGTTTAGCTGGTGATTGTGGTTGTTTGTATATAACAATAGTACATAATACAATGATTAGTCCTGGTATTAATGTTAGTAATATAGCCCACCATGACTTTTCTTCTAAATAATCCACAGTAAATATTATAAGAGCACAGAAACATGTTATAGCTATACCTGGAAATACAAATGTTAATGATTGGATTCCCAAGATAATTCCTTTTTTTATATAATCAGTTGGTTTCTTTTGCATTTGTATAATTTTGTTCACATATGTATTCCTTTTTTGGTTAATCTTGATGCTAAAAGTAATTTATCGATCTCAATTTTAGTTATATATTAAAGCCTGTAAATGCTATTTGATACGTTAACCAAACTTTTAGAAGAGAGAGAAAATATACATTTTGCAAAATGAATTTTAATGATACTTACATAATATTGCTATACTAGCTGTAGCTATTTTTTGAGTTAATGCTGTTGGTGTTATGGATGGTGATATGAATAGTTGACGAGATGAGAAAAGAGAGTTATCATCCTTTATTGTGGATTCTACAGTTTGACCTGGTTGATGTTCATCTGTTCTATACCTACATTGATTATTTAAAAATTCAAATATTTTTCTTAGATTTGTCTTGAGTTCTTAGATTTCAAGTCTCAACAAAATACGTGCGATAGAAATGTTGTTTTTGCAATTGTTTTATGTCTCTGATTATTGTCTCAATTTCATTCTATTCTCATGGTAACTGTTTTGTATCTGTGTACTAATTTTCCCTTATTCATTGATGATTTTATTTTGCTGAAATTTACAAAAAATTACATCAAGCACAATCAATTAGTCTTCGGATGCCATACCTTAATACTAATACACATATAGCTACCAATGTATAAGCCAACAGAGTACCAATAGACATCATATCCACTAATTCTTTTAAATTAAACATCATAGCCATAAAACCTACAACAAAAGAATACTCATACTCAATATCTCACTTGGATGGTATCCTTTTTTCACTAATAAATGAAGGTTGTGCGCATCATATGATGCTATTATACGATTAGAGATTGAAAAAAAGGCACCTTTAGCAACGGTACAATGATTATCCATATCTAGACGCCCATAGTTTTTACTTATATAATATTAATAAGATCGTCACTTTAATATGTAAGAATAATCTCCCAAAGAAAACGCTCCGCTCCATACCTGAGAAAATACCTGTTATTATAGTTGCTAATAACGGTGTTTTAAATCTTTCATTGACATTAGCTAATACTTTAAACAACACACCATCCGTGGCCATAGCATACAATATTCTTGGTAATGGAAACATAGCACCTAGTAAACTAAAAAAAAAAAATTAATGCTGTTTATTAATCAAACAATTTTACATTCTCATTTTACGTTTTCATCTTATTTTAGGTCATATAGTTCAGTTTGTTCACCAAAAGCTCTCTTGCTTAAAAATGAATTGCAGTGTCTAAATTTGTGGACAATGGTTTCAGAATCTACAGATGCGAGTTTCATGAACTTCCATGATATCAGCCATTTTTTATGAGGTCCTTTCCACGTACTTTCCTTTACTACTGTAACCTACCTAGTGGATAATCCACACAGTGCTCCAACAGATATGATGTACTTGGCAACACCCCATCCTTCTCTATCAAACACAAATGGCAATGGTGCATTTGGATCCAATAAGTAATAGGGACACATTAAAGTCAAAACAGCTGATAATGAACAATACGCTAATGATATAATGATTAAAGATGTGATAATAGCCAGTGGTATGTTTCTTTGTGGATTTTTGGCTTCTTCACCTACAATATATAGTAAAATAATCCAATCCTCATAGTAAATTAAAAGTTCATTTACCTGCAAAAAGTCAAATCAATACCCACGGTAAACAGCTAAATGACAAACAATGCTAAATTGTAGACAGATTGACCATGTAGTTGCATTCCAATAACCGTTGTCCAAATGAGGAGTGAAAGGGAAAGAATTTGTAACGATTACGTTAAAAATAATGGGTTAAATCATTGTTTATCTTATTGCTGACATTATTTTCAATCTCAAGATTTGTTTTGTAATAATATCCCATACTTTTACAGAATTTGATTTGAAAAGGGGGTTATGGCAGTTAATAAAATATTTCAATTATGAATACTATAAAAATCGTACCTGTAGTGGCAACACAATCAAAACCAACAAAGGCATAAAAACAAGTGGCAGCTCCTGACATCATTCCAGAGAAACCAAATGGAAAGAAACCACCTGTCCCCACATCTTCATCTGACACTTCTACCTTAAAAGATATGTTGTGTTACTTTTTACTTTTAGAACTTTAGAAAATTATCTGTATCGGGGATACTAATGGCATCAATGTGCACCATTCCAATTTTCCGTCAGGCGTCAAATACTTAGTTTCCGTGGAATTGCAGGAAACCGAAGTGTCTGGTTGAAAATTGGAATGGTGCAAATTGATGTTATCAGGTGTCCCCGATATAATTTACATACAATTCCTATACGCTTACATGAAATGAACGCCACCCATGTCCATCCGTCCACAATTGATTGTAAACACTCTAGAAGGCACAATTCCTGTCGGATTTTGAAGAAACTGGGTAATATCATTCAGTATCACCTCAGAGAGTTTAAAAGAAGTGTATGACTGAAGGTTGAATATTTCATACTGGCGATTGTTGCTGTACTGCTAAATATTTTTATTCAAAATAAAAGCTGCCAGTGGGCGTATATTACCTTTCCTGGCAAGCTATCTTTTGAGACAATTTACAATCCCATTAAGATTCCTCTCCAATTTTACTTTAAATGGATCAATGGGCTAATGATAGATTTTAAGTGCAGCTTAAAAAAACGTAATTGGAGTATATGATTGGAATTTTATTGTTAGTTTATCCTTGCGATAATAACATAGATTTATTATGAGGTGACAGTCATTTTATTTACTAACATCCTTTCATGTTAGAGACTGGAAATGTTCATTGGCTAATGAATTGATCCAACCATAATTGTATACCATAAAGCACAAAACCAACCTGTTTTGGATCAACTTGCCAATTTTTTATATCTACTTTAAACATTCCACAGATAACAACGTATAATACCACAAGAATATTTACTCCAGTAAATACATTGTTGAATTTAGCTGATTCTCGAACACCAACTGCCAGCAATACTGGAAAACAGTTTAATTAATTGTAAAGAGGTTTTTAAAAATGTAAATTATGTGTATCGGGGATACTAATAGTACTCGTCAATTGAACACCATTCCAATGTTTCGTCAAACGCCCTTTATTTTTGCAATGAAATAAAAAGTTAAATTAATATTTGAAAACCTCTTAGCAATCCATCAAAATATCAGATGCATCTTCAGTAAGCAATATCTTCGAGAAAATATAAAATTCTTGTTCAAAAACACAGTTTTATAGATGAATTTAACGTGATGATTTAAAGTCGTGCCTAGTCCCTGTATAAATATATCATAATTATTGACTGTCGTAAAAAGTCCGCTGATTACTTACCCGTAAGGAGTAGGGTTATTCCGAATGAAAAGAAATCCGGATAAGACGACAGACCAGTCAAATTCATAGGCATTGTGGAATTAAAGAAATTTTGTATGTCATTGTTAATCAGAGAATCAAAATAGGAACTCCATGCCCTAGCTACACTGGCTGTACCTGAAATAAAAGAGGAATATAATGCATTATTCAGTACAAATACACCACTTCTTCAGACTATCGATTAAAAGGAAATTAATCTCAGAAATTCGATTTTTTAGCTATGCTTATCCGTAATATTGTTTAAAGCTAACCGTCCAAATTTGAGCTTTCAAATCCATGTGTGTCCAGAATTATCCGAGTTTGAAAGTTAAAATAACGACTCGTCTTTCTTGAGACTCCGCCGTACAGAAGAAAAGATACATAGACATAGAAAGTGAAATTTCTATTTCGTGCTACATCTAGAGATTAAACAATTTTAGTGCAGTTCCAGTACTTCTGAAGTCTATTTACATTTACACTATTTCCCTCTTGTAAATGTATAACAATTACAGGTATCTCTAAACTCACCTATGGCGTATTCTAAAATCATATTCCACCCAATGATAAAAGCCATTAGCTCCCCAACTGTCACATAACTGTAAACATAAGCCGAGCCTGCTTTAGGTACACGAGCAGCAAATTCAGCATAACAGACACCTAAATAAAGATTTACAGTATTCTTTTGAAGATGTCTTATAAAGTATACGTGCACGTTGAACTCGTGGTTTAATACCCGCAGCATTGTATCCGAATATGGGTCAAAGAATTCGTGGAGCTGCATACACTAACATAATAATGCACAATATCTAAATATAAATCCTTTATCAGACACTTGTGAAACATAAATCAAGACCAACACCTATTTTTGTAGGATCTTACAAATAGTAATTATCTATCTACCTGCCAATACAGAAGCAACAGCAGCTACAAGAAATGACACAAACACCGATGGTCCTGATGTTTGCCGTGCAACTTGTCCAGCAACAACATAGATACCAGCGCCTAATGTACTACCAACACCTGGAATTATTAACACTAGTTTGTGATATAAGAGCTGCGCTTGAGACACCTTTTTCAGAGAACGCGTATGTTCACACACTGATGTTTAACATACGAGAAAAAAAAGGTATCCATTCCTTTCATCTATTTCATGAATCGAACGCATATGAAAAATGACTTTTTGATCATGTGAGAAACGAACATAAACTACATACCTAGGGCTGTTAAATCGAATAATCCCAAGACACGAGCTAATCCGGACATTTCCATAATTTCCATATCTGGAACTTTTTTGGTGCGCACCAACATGTGAAGGAACCGCATGCAACCATTTGAAGACCCGCCATCACTGGATGTACTCATTTTGATCTGTAATTAATGAGTTTAATTACCATATACAATAATTTACTTTTTTATACTCCCACATTAAAACGTGGTCGTATATTGTCGTCGCCCCTGTTCGTCCATTGATCCGTCCGTCCACAATTGGTTTGTGAACGCAATATAGATTACAGTTTTTATCTGATTTTATGANATTGGTGTGATCATTTATATTGATGAGATCTTGGACAAGATCGAATTTGTAATCTTTCGATGANAGTTTTTGAGTTATTGCCCTTGACTTAATTTGTTTGTGAACAGAATAGAGACTACATTTTTCCTCCGATTTAAATTAAATTTGGTGTGATCATTTATAATGATGAGACCTTAGTCAAGTGAATTTGAATTTTTCGATCAACGGAATTTGAGTTATTGCCCTTGACTTAGTTAAAACGCATCAAAATTTTTTGCTCATTGTACTTGCATGGCGAGATGACCAAGTAGTTTCAAGACATATAAAAGGGTGGTAAGACCTGATATCTTTTGGGACACGAAATAGTATTCGCCGCCATTTGTTAGTAAAAGGAAGTAGAGACATGTCATGATATGTGGAATAGAGATTTGTTAAAGCTTTACATTAATCATCTTCCATTAGTCCACTATAGAGACACCGAATTCTTAAATGAATATTTAAAACGTTATTCTGACATTAACTTTTATTGAGATGGGATTTAAAATCTGCATTTTGGAACTTTCTAAATTCCTGCTATACATGGAACTATCGCTTATAATTTTGGTCAAGGTCCAGATTATTATGGAATGGAAATATTAGTAACACCCAATGCAAGATCAGCTTATATTTTGTAATATATTTATTTCGTCCAATAAAATACTCGAGCCAAGGGAAATGATTGTGCTATTTATTATAATTCCCGTGGAATGAATCCGGATATTTCTAGAATGCTTTGATAGTTAAAGGAATCGAAACTAGTGAGAAGTACATTATATGACAATCACTCAGTTACGGATTACACCATGTAACAGGAATTTTAACATATTGTTTATTGAACATACGACGAAAATGTCGGTTTTTTTAAAAAAAAAACAAGATATCCGATCAAAATGTATTCAAAAATACCTTGACCATCTTATCCATACTAAAGTTTTGAATTTGTTGAAACATGTGATTTACCTGTATACAGTTATTAGGCTCTTTCAATATATACAAATCCTAACAATATGTATAATGTAAATGTACAACAAGGTCATTTATAAAGTGTCATTGTAGTCATGTATATAAAATAATATATAGATATATAATAAGATAAGAGGTTTAATAAATAGGTCAAATATCTCACAGTTTTTATTAATATGAACTAACTGATATTTACACATGACTTCGATAGCCTAAAGTTGCTTTCTCTCGACATATCCAGCCTGTTACATCCTGCATGAAGTTGGTAGTCATGCGAAATTCTAACAACAAACAGGGGAGTACAACATATGGGAGCTCTTCAGACATGATTTTCATTGATTTTGTATTTCGTTTAAAATCATAGAACTGTAAACAGATCTTTGAATATATGGAGGATTCAATGAGGCTATTAACCGTATCATATCAGTGATCGTAAAATGGAATGTGACATTTCTTTCTCCTATCTTTGAGAGAGTAAAAAAAAACCTCTTATGATGATTTACGCTATAAAACTCTGGATGTAGAAATCTTTTTGTATTTCTCTTAAATATGGACATACTGAACACCATTGACTTGTGTTACCTAAAGTATAGTTAGTTGTACACCGTGTGTTGCGAATACATATAGAGATATGATACAGGATATATGTAACATTACTTTATATTTACCTATATATTGTATTAGAATATCCACTCAATACACTTACTATTATTGATTAGAAAAGTGTAATTACAGTTAGCTGTTTGCATTCATCCATGTAATATAGTAACTGTAATAACACCAATAAATTTGTAAAAGAAATAACCTTGTATTTTTATAGTTATATCCGGCTTGGTGGATATGACAAAGAGTTTTAAAGGCAGTGTGACATCATATGCGGAAAATATTTTCATAGGGAATCTTATATACTAAATACTGTTATATCCCTGTAACTTATTTATTATAAATATTAAAAGATAGCTTGCCAGGCAAAGTAATGTACGCCCACTGGTAGCTTTGATTTTGAATAAAGAATATTTGGCATTACAGTAACAATTATCAGTATTAAATATTCAACCTTCAATCTTACAATTCTTTTGAAATTTTTAGGGGCATACTGAATAATATAACCAAGTTTCGTCAAAATCAGTCAAAAATTGAGCCTTCTAGAGAGTTTGCAGGCTAAAACTTTTGTTTTTAAGAACAAGGGTAATAACTAAATATTTTTTGATTCTTCTGATTTTCAATAGGGTTCATCCGTGGGTGATTACAAACACTCACACCAAGTTTACAAGCTAAAATTGGACGAGTTTTCAAGAACAAGAGCAATAACTCATACTAATCATTTTTCGATTTATTTTTTTAATTTTCAATAGCAAACACTCACACCAAGTTTCATCAAAATCTAATGTGGACGTATAAAATGAAGTTGAAGTTTGAAGTTTTTGAATATCTCTTTGTCGTTCTATGCATTTAGCACTATTTTAACAGTGGAAAAATTTTCCCATAATTGTTGTGATCGTATTAGGCTTATGATGTAGGCGTTGAAAATCACGCCGTCGATATTCTGCAAACACACGAACACATTGTGCCACAAAAAAGAAAACAATCCTAAATATTAGTCGGTATATCAGATATTTAAATAACTCGATATAGTTCCTGAGGGTAGATATTCCGATCAAGAGTTTGTCTCAAAAGTTACCACGGGTTTTTGTCTGCTCAAAACCCGCATTAGACTATTTTCAATAATCTGTTTATATTATTAGTAATAAACCCACCTTTCTCCTGTATTATCCCGATTTGTTATTTTAGGCAAGTTAGATAGTGAAGAAACTCATGTGATTGAAAACTGATATGTCATCGAAGATAACCGGTCATGTCTAAGTCAGTGATTTCTCTTGTCTGGGATGTTGAGGTCAAAAAGTGTCAAAAAGTCTTCAAACATGCACAATACCTATTGTCAGATATAAAATTATTATCATCGACCGTTGCAAAAAATTCATTTGCAAAACATTTCGTCAAAAATTGTCATTTCATAATAGCAAAAAGATTTTTTTTTTCTCTTTTGTCTTATCTTATAACATTCAGTCTAATTATAATTAGACCTAATTTTAATTTAGCCACTATAGTTAGGGTCTAACAACTGCCCTCTTAAACCAATAACCTCTTAACCTTCCATTAAAAAGGTATGATCAAAAATCGTACCTCTAGGGTCAAAATTGGCCGAGTTATGGCCATTTTAAGTTTGGGGTAGGGTCGGCAACCAGCGTATGCAGTTTAGTTGCACTTGTCGGGGTAAGACCAAAACTTTGACAGACTGCCATTTGAACACTATCAGAGATGTAAAGCTGCAATTAAGGTCTAAGTTGTTCTGTTTGAAATTTCTACCTTCTACCTTGCAACCTCAGCCTGCCACAGCACTTTAAGTTTTCGATCTGTTAGCATAAACCCAGGGTATGTTAAACTTTCATTAGCGACAAAAATGGTACCTTTAGGTTCAAAATTGGCTGAGTTATAGCCATCTTAAGTTTGGGGTAGGGTCGGCAACCATAGTGTCTTGTTGCACTGGTCGGGGTTAAGACCAAAACTTTGACAGACTACAGCTCAAAGACAATCAGAGATGGAAAGTTTCAATTTGCACTGAAGGTACACCCCTATTGGAAGTTGTTATGTTTCAAATTTCAAGTCCCTATCGTGAAAACTCTGCCTGTTACAGCACTTTGAGTTTCAGATTTTTTCCCAAACCAAAATGTAAGCAAATTTCCCTCTTGAAAATTCGGGTGGAACTTCAAAGTCGATTTTCCCGAAAGATTTCAAAATATCCGAATTTCTGTTTTCGACTGAAATAGATAGAAGACATGTTAAACTTTCGTTTGCAGCAAGAATTATATCTCTAGCGTCAAAATTATCGAAGTTATGGCCATTTTAGTGAGAGGGTGGGGGTCGGCAGTCCGCCTATAGAGTCTCGTTGCACTGGTTGGGGTGAAGACCAAAACTTTAACAGGCTGCCGTTCGAAAACTATCAGGGCTGAAATTTGCACTGAAGGTACACACCTATTGGAAGTTGTTGTGTTCCAAATCTCAGCTTCCTATCTTGAAAACTCTGCCAGTTACGGCACATTTGGTCTCAAACTTTTTCCCCAAACCAAAAAATATGCGATTTTCCTCTTGAAAATTCGAGTGAAACTTCAAAGTCGATTTTCTCAAAAGTTTTCCAAAATTCCAAATTTCTGCTTTCGGCTCAAATAGATAGAGGGCATGATAAACTCTCATTTGCAACAAAAATCATTGCTCTAGCGTCAAAATTGGAGGAGTTGTGGCCATTTTAGTTCAGGGGTGGGGTCGGCAGTCTGCCTATTGTGTCTTTCTGCACTGCATTTCAATGGGGTGAAGGCCAAAACTTTGACAGGCTCTCGTTCGAAGGCTATCAGAGCTGGAAAGTTGTAATTTGCACTGAAGATACTACCTTGTTGTTATGTTTCAAATTTCAAGTCCCTATCGTCCCTATCGTTTGAGATTTTTTCCCAAACCAAAATGTAAATGTCGCGAATCTAGGAAATTGAAGGATAAGGCAGAACCACTTTTTACTGGTTACTTGCCCACTCTCTTCGAAGTAAAACTCTGAATCCGCTCTACTAACAGGTATCTAGTTATTTCCTGGGTAGAACCCAAAATAACTATTGATGGCAGAAAGTCATACCCATTTTATTGATTAAAATCCTTCAATTGTAAGAATGGATAAAACAGATTCTATTTCTAGCGAAGTGGCTAATAAAAGAGGTTCTGGAAGTCGCCGTACATTGTCAGATGTTCTTTTCGATAGTGTGCAAAGGGAACAAATCAGTGAACATGAAAGTCCTGAATTTACCCTATCACTATCAGAAACAAAACAGACAGATACCAGACCTAAAGAAACCAGAGATCCACTGTTACACAGACTGGAGTTTACTCCTGGTCCCCCACCGTTATTTGAGAATAACATGGATCCAGTTTAGAACCAAAGGGAAGATGCACATCATAATGTGTATGGTAGACAGCAGCTGTATAGAAAACCTATACTTGCAGCGAGTAAATATGATGCCACTACGCCGTTAATGGATTACAAAGCTCATTTTAAAACCTGTATAAGAATAAATAAATGGACAAAGGTAGAACAAGGTCTCCATTTAGCAGGAAGTATAATGGGTTTAGCCCAACAAGTTCTTTGTTCACTCGCACCTGAACATCGCTATGATTATGAATCATTAATGGTTGAGTTGGAAAGACGAAAACTAAAAAACCGATGAAAAAAACATGACGAAAAATTGACTGAGTTAGGACAATCAATTAAAAGAATGGTTGTTTTGGGATACCCTACAGCCGAACAGAATTTACAAGATGTTTTGGCAAAAGACGCATTCCTAGATTCACTAAAAGATGATATGGACATGGTCTGGAAAATTCAACAGACAAGACCTTCTAATATAGAAGAGGCTGTTCATATGGCAGTAGAGTTAGAATCCTTCAGAGTTTCTAATGAATCGAAGCGTCCAAAACAGAAATATTCTCGGTCTGTAACAGAACCAAAACAAGAAAGTGCAATTGATAAAAGTCTAGCTGATCAAATTATGACTCAGATAACGCAATTAACTGAAGGAATGACATTCTCGAAAAACAGAAGAAACGAACAGATATTATCTGTGAAAATTGTAAGAAGAAAAGACACTCTAGTAAGCATTGTTGGTTCAAGAAATCCAACGATGAAGCATTTACAATGAGAAATAAAAGTAACAGGAAAAAGAGAAGAATTAATAAGTTCTTAAGAGCTCAAAGTGAAGCAGGTCTACACATGCTAGCTCAAATAGCGAACGTACAGACATATTGTTTGGTAGATACAGGAGCTACCATGACCCTTGTGTCAACAGCTGTATTTGTACAGATAAGCAAACAACCCTATTTGAAAATGGTTGGTTACTACATAAGCCTTGCTGATGGAAAAAGAATGATTACAAAGGGAGCCACAGAACCTACATTTTTTATTGGTGATATGGTTTATAAACAGCCAGTCATCGTTGCCGATATAGGATCACATTGTATACTTGGATTAGATTTTCTTGAGAAACATGGTTGTAAGATTGACCTTACAAACAGAGAAATGGAGTTATCCGAAAAGACATTAAGCCTTCAATTTGTAGTTGGTTCATCAGTGAAAAGAATAATAGCTGCTAAGAGTACAATGATTCCTGCTGGTCATGAAAAGATAGTACCTGGTAGAATCCATGAGTCGGTTAAGAACGATTTGAACGGACAAACCGTCATGATAGAGCAACATCCAAATCTCGTTCTTTAGCCATGGTTTCAGAACAGGACATTCCGGATCATGAATGTCTCTACAAACCCACTTACAATTTTTAAGCAAACAACCAGTGGACAATTGGATTTAGTTGATGTGCCCAATAAGCAACAGCTTTCGAGTAAAAAGTTTGATGATTTTCCCAATCACCTCAAAATTTTTTTTTAATCATCAGCTAAAAACCTGACAAAAATCCAAAAGCTTAAACTTAAAAACTTTTTAATTCAGTTTCTCAAAATATATTTGCAAGGAGTGATTTAGATCTTGGCAAGACCAAAGATGTCACTCACAAGATAAAAACTGGTCCTGCTAATCCTATCTAGCAGAGAGCCAGACGGATTCCTTTTCACCAGAAAGTAGAAGTGGGTGAAGCTTTAAAGAAAATGCTTGAACAGAATGTTATATAAGAATCTACAAGTCCTTGGGCTAGTCCTATAGTTCTTGTTAAGAAGAAAGATGGTACTACCAGATTTTGTGTAGACTACAGAA